CTATAGGATGATTTAAAAAACAATAAATAACATCAAACAGCCCCCCCCCCCCTCAGGTTTTTATGTCAAAACTAGCAAAAAGTAGCACAAGAGACAAAAACAGCCATTTTACTGAAGCAGCTTTCAAAGGGAGCAGTAATGTTGAAGGAACTTCAGAGATCTGCATATTTATTTCTGTGGGGGGAAATATTTGTAAATACCTTTAAATACTTTAAAAAAGTATTACAGACATAAAAACCATTCCGGCTCCCTGAATGAGCCGAACATGTAGATAAACAGCTGAAATAAGAAAGTGTGCAGCAGGTCTTAAAACAGTGTTCAGTTTACAGAAAACAATCAATAACCTGCTGATGATTTCTAGAATAATAAAACAGGTATATTTCTAAAGAACGTGATCTTTATTGAACATCTCACTTCTCTTGAATTTAAGTAACAAACAGCTGAAGCTGATTCTTTAGAAACTTTAGTTYGAGGTGGAGCAGCTGGAATAACGTCACCGGAGCAGCCGAAGGGGGCTTTCCTTTTGTTTCAGCTGCGTCTCCCACCCAGCAGCCAAATAAGTCCAGACGTTTTGGCCTCTCCGCTTCTGGAAGCGTGTGTTCCAGATAAAACGCTGGTTTTACTGGAAGCATCTGAGAGGTGGAGTGGACGGAAGCTGCCGAGGAGCTCAGGCGCTCCAGGAATGTGTGGAATGACAGGAACGAGGCGATCCCCCCTGAGTCACCGCTCAAAACTGAGAAAACATATTTATTTAGTCTGAAAATCAGCAGCTTTTCACATGTCTGAGCCCGTGTGGAAAAGTACGAGCAGTGATTTATCTGAGCACTAATCAAACACTTTAATTAGACAGAAAATTATGTTTTTACACAGCTGTGTTGTGTCTGAAACTGTGGCTGAGAGTGAGAAGAATTTAAGGACATTAAGGGTTTCTTATCAGTGTTTGAGTGTGTTAGCAAAATAACTCATGCACTGCTGGACAGAAGAGGAAACATTCAGGAATTCATCAATATACTACTGCAAAACAGCAGTTTCATTGTTTTTGTGCACTAAAAATGTGCAATAAATTTATAATTTTACTGACTTGAGTTCATTCATGAAGCTTTTCCTGTATTTTTGTGCAGCTTCAGTCGTCCACAAAACAGGCAGCTTATCTAAATATTATTAAACTACAGCTGAAAAACAAAAGAAAGAGCTAAAAGTGAGCTAAAAGCTAGCAATGAAGTGCCAAAAGAGAAAGCAAAATACAATATAAAAAACCCTAAAAGATGTAACAAAAAACTAGAAAAAATCTTTGAGGTGCCGTTTGTAAAGTTACAGTCAAAAATTACCAATATTTTTGTTTTATTTAGTCTTTTATAAGAAACAAAAGAACAGATTTATTTTTCAAAGTCAGTTTTTCACCATGATTCATACATTTATAAATGTCATAGTTTATAAACTAAATATTTAACTTGTGACTTAAATATTTAG